GGGGGGGGTGTTTAAGTTAGAAAGAAGACTGCACAAATAGTTTGGCTTTTCTAACAGAAAACTCAAAGGTAGCAAAAGAGTTGCATGTGAGCCAACATTGTTTTAAAAAAACTGAAAGCCCAGTATTAGATCCAGGAAATTTCTACTGACTTCTATGGGACTTTAAATGTAGGGAAAAAAATGTAAAATTTGTAGGTAGTATTCACGATCCCCATTCTCTGTGTATCACTTGCTTGAGTATCCTCTAGGAACATGAAGACTCGGATACTTTCCAATCTTTGGATTTTAATCATTAGTTAACATTTGAAACACCCAAAGGTAAATTACACATTTATGTTTTAATGTTTCTTATCAGTTGTTTTAGCCAAACATATCTTGGGAGAGGAAGATGAATGCCTTAGTTGAACAAAATAATAGAAGTGAAATACGAAATAAGCAAAAAGCTAGAATAGCGAGATTATTATTACCTCTGGCCCACTGCAAATGGCTTCATGTATCTCGCTTGTCCAAAACATTTGAGATACGCACAGAACTACCTGTCCAGGCCACTCCAGAACCCATTTTTTCCTCTCAGTCTCTGGATATGCCTAAAAAAGTTAATTGCATTACTTAACAGTGTCACAAGTAAATAACTGGATGTGTATTGTTAACTATGCCTTTGCATTACAATCATCAAGGTAATAATACAATATAATGCAATAATAGGCTTTGGAATGCCCACTATTTGGGGGGGGGTTTTCAAAGCCACCACAAATATGCATTTTAAATTGCCTTTCTTCTTTATGGTTTCTTCCTTCTTTGTGTTTAAAGAGCAAAAAATGTTTGAAATGTTCATGTTAATTATGAAAATCTGCCTACCATGCTAATTTGGCAATTGTAGTTCTCTTTTAGGTGAAGTCAAACTTGCAACAAGCATTTTGATTACTTTTAATTTTTAATTAGCTAAGAAAAGAGTGAAAAACTAAAACAGGGAATCTTAGAAGTTTCCTATTGCTGTCAGGCTTATTTTACACAGAAGAAAACAACATAATTCAGTCCTTATTCAAACAAAACTCCCACTGACCTCACAGTTGTATAACTACAAGTCTCAGATTAATAAATTGAACTTGATCTAAGAAACCTTCATATACTTAAATTTAATTTAAGTCAGGAGGACTTCTGGTATAAAAAGCCTGCAGGAGTGGGCCCTAAGAGTGAAGCAGGGACTCTGGGTACAAGCAAACATTTGCAGGATGGAGCCCAAGTCTGTATTAGAAAACACACCTCTCTTGCATTAGTTATAACATCATGTATACTCTTTAGCATAATATCTTCAACTTGGACCAGCCACTTCTCCACTGCACCTCGAGCTTCAGAAGTAGAAATGGTTGAAATCAGTTCAACTCGCTCCCCTTCAGAGCTGAACATTGCCTTAATATCCAGATTAGGAAGGAAATGCAGCTTAGCAATGCCCTCAAAACATTTTTTCAAGTGAGGCTGAACTCTAAGAGGATCTTTAGTTTCTGACAAAATCTCCAACATTTCATCATTGGACAAGAAGAAAAATCTAAAAAAAGGATTCACACAAAGAACAGAAGTATTAAGTTATTATAGATGTCAAGCTTTTTATACAGTAGAACAAGCATTGAACAATGAACAAGCAGTATACCTAGGAAAGAAGAGACGCTTTTTCTCAAGATAAGCATTAAGTCCTTTCATGATTTTGTCCAGAAGCTCATTACAGTTCTGAAGCTTCTCTAATAAACCTGTCAATGAAGTGGCAGAAAGAACCTGTAATAAAAGATATGTAATCACTTGTGAATTCACATCAAAAGTTACAGTCAAGGTACAGCATATAGTAAAGGCTATAAAACTGATAAATTTATGATGAGTGCTTTTACACTTGGTGCGAGTGGGATGAAAGTTCATTAAATATATTTGGTTACTAAATTACTGACAGAAATGAATGGGGTAAATATGTCGTCTTAATTATCTGGAGTATGGCATGCCTTACTTTAGGGTCTTTGGTACAATATTTCATAATGTCTCTCCAATATCTGTCTACGGTCTGGAAGAGACGTCCCTCCTCTGGCATCTGTTGCATGATGTCCTCTGAAGAAAAGATGGGTTCCAAGTAAAGCCACTGAGCTTGCACTTTCAGCCATTCATCGATAATCTCCTGAACTTGAATCAGACGATCTTCCCATTCCTTTACAAATGTATTAAAATTTTTACTGCACTACAGTCATATTACATATATTTAAAGAGAGTATATGAACATAAAGAAAACAAACTTTATAGACAGCATAACACCCTTCCAAGGTGACAACAGAAACAGACAAGAAAACCACAGGAAAATTAAAGTTCTTCCCTGGACATATAATGCTGATACAGTTTACAAACTCTAACCTACCAGGGGACTAATTTGCAGATTGCTCACTTAAAGGCACTATCAGATTATAGATTCATAGATGTTTGGGTCGGAAGGGACCTCAGTAGGTTATCAAGTCTGACCCGCTGTCCTGGGCAGGAAAGAGTGCTGGGGCCAGACTACCTAAACCAGTTGCTTGTCCTGTCTCCTCTTGAAGACCCCCAGGGTAGGGGAGAGCCCATTCCAGATTCTGGTAACCCTTACTGTGAAGAAGTTCATTCTAATGTCTAACCTAAATCTGCTCTCCGTCAATT